TCTTGTGCAGCGGAAACACATCTGCATGGCGTGGGATAAAAATAAACACAACAAAAGGGAGATTTTACATAAAGACGGACTAAGACAGTGCCTGAAAAGACATGTCCCCTGGAGGGATGTACAATAGGATTCTGTTAGCGGGACACTAGCGAGCGACACATACGTAGAGGGATAGAGAGAATCTGTTTTTACATAATGAGTGTGATTTGCATGTGCTAGCTAGAGCATTTACTTAACATGGCTCTTAAATGGGAAGCTCACCAAGCAGTATTGTGCATTGGCAAGATTGCTCGGAGGGAAATGTGATGTGGGGGAAGCAGCTGGGAAACTGTTTTTAGGTGGGTGTTGTTTTAAAATGACAGGAAGAACATCAGGGGGCTGAGGAGCTTTAATGCGAGGAACCTGCACAAGTTTTTTCAAGCCAACTAAAGCCACATCCTGATAATGTGTCCCACTGCAGCTTTCATTTCACTCATATCACTTATGAATGTAATGTTTCCACCCTGTTAAGATTAATGCACGGGAACCAGTGCCGTCCGCCTGTTTATATCATCCCTTGGTTCGTTATTTGAGTGCTTGTGTGTGTGTGTGTGTGTGTGTGTGTGTGTGTGTGTGTGTGTGTGTGTGTGTGTGTGTGTGTGTGTGTGTGTGTGTGTGTGTGTGTGTGTGTGTGTGTGTGTGTGTGTGTGTGTGTGTGTGTGTGTGTGTGTGTGTGTGTGTGGTGGGTGCAGTGTGAATGTTGTAAGGCTGAGGGAGCTGGAGTGGTCAAAAAATGCCTCAGAGGTTGCACTCCACATTAGCATTCTGCTGGGCAGACTGGTGCATGTGAATGACAGGTGTGTGTGTGTGTGTGTGTGTGTGTGTGTGTGTGTGTGTGTGTGTGTGTGTGTGTGTGTGTGTGTGTGTGTGTGTGTGTGTGTGTGTGTGTGTGTGAATTGAAGATGACCCTTCAACCTTGTCTCGTATTGGATTGGGGATTAGCAGTCAGAGGGGCACACCTTCTGAATACTGGACTCACACACTGCCTCAGGGGGAGGGTGAGGGATAAAGGGGTCACACTACCTCAAACTCTACACCCAAGGATTGGTCCGAGTATGTGTGTGTGTGCGTGTGTGTTTGTGTGTGTGTCACAAACACCTCACTGCAAAGCGCTGATCAAGATCAATTTGGCTACAATTAATGTAAATTAAAGGCTGTGTTCTGTAAATCTGCCGACTTGCAAAGTTTAAAGCAACAATCTAAAATAACATTAAGAAGATAAAACATTATTCAAGCAGTTGTACCGTATGATGGATCTGTACCTAGAATACACAGAGGTTAATGGCACATTATTCAATTTGTAACATTGATCTGTGACCCTTACCTATTTGCTCATATTCCAGCGCTACAATTTTGGAAGATAAAAGCGTACGGCTGCTATGAAATGACAAACTGCATGTTCAGAACCAGCCAAAAAAGGATTAAACCCTGTCTCTGCTACTAACAAAGATAAAAGGGCTCTAACATGATCACAGGTTTCCACAATAAATTAATGAAACCTCCAATTATTGCTGGGATCTGTAATATGTTATCATCTAAAATATTTGGAAAGTTTCAATTGTAGACATCATCAACTTCCAAAAATGATCACAGAACTGCGGGCAGATCATTTGACCACCACAACCTAGGCTGATGTTAATGAATGACACTAAAACTAATTCTAACTTGATTGAACTGAAATGTTTTATTCCCTGTACAAATTGTGAGGATGACATAACACAGTATAATATAAAGCAGTCCGAGTTAACATCCCAAACTACGCTCTCAGAAATGCCCTGAATAGAGCACTTATCAACACTCTCACAATACAAGCTGGTAAGTCTCACCAGAAGCCGAATGCTTTACAAATGTAGCACTCACTGCAGGGCTATCGTAATGGATTCTATTAGAGAAGTGCTTTTTGCTTATTTTCTACAACCCCAGTGCTGCATGCATAAACAAATCTTGGTACAGTGAATAACTCTACCAAAAGTGCCTTTTTTTCAACTATAAAAACAACCTTTAAGTGTATATCCTGACCTCTACATCCACAGGTGCTCCTTTAAGTTATATTAGGGAGGGGAAAGATTTATTAGCAGGAAGTGGTTCACAATTTAAGAGCACTCAAGATCATAAAAAACAAAGGAGTCTAATAAATAGGGGCATAATAAGTTATATAAATCACACCCTCCTCAAGGTTCTCCTGAGGAAGGAGAGCTTGCCAATAAGTGTTGATGTATTCTTCTAATGTACTAAATCCATATTTACTAAAGGCCATTTATTCATACATTTCTGGGATAGAGCGCTTGAAATTGATTTTGTCTGGCACATCCAACCAATGGACCTAGATATACTAAATAACTCCTTTCTAAATGTTACCTCAAAACTCTTTCTCACAAACTGTAGGTTAGAATGATTGTAAAATCATTCAAATGTGATCAATAATTCTTTAAATAGCTGTCTGATTACTGCTATCCCCAAGTTCACAATGGCTTATGCATTGTATCTCATAATGTTACTCAGGCACAACTGGGTGTTACTTTTCCAACTCAGTGCATTAATAGTCTTATTAGTCAGTATTTTCATGAAGAAATGGTGCAAACTAACTCACAGGGAGCAAAAATAATAAGCCTGTAAAGTCTACTACTCAGTTCTGCCATGTCGTCACAGAGACGTGAGACTTGGTACAGAGATGTATCTGCATACAAAGGACCTTTGCTTTTTAAACACTACAGTATAATGTCAACCATCCATTTCTTGCTGGCATTTTGGGAAAGAAATCTCTTTAAACAGTGTTACGCAATGTGTTAATTAGATAACACAGCAATCACTTTACTTATATTTGATTTAACAGCAGTCGCCATTTTATTAGGTGGTCAGTTTAATTCTATTGTCTTCGTTTCCCCCCCTTGCTTTGGTGTTTGCGGTCAAATTTGACCGGTCCTGTTTTAACTGCTATTACATTAACACAAAAACCATTAATCATCACCAAATTTCATTTAACACTCTTTCAAACTGTAAATATTGTATCAGACTACTGGTATACATGAACAACTGCAGTAAATATACAAAGAATAGACACTGAACGTGTATTGCGTGTGCCAGGTGTGATCCATGTGGGGGGATGGGCACATAAGAGCGGGAAATGTGTCAAATTGTTCTGTGTGTGTGCAGGTGTGATTCACATTTGGGCACATAAGGGTGTGTGTGTACAGGGCCGGCTCTAGACAATTTGCAGTCCTAGGCGAGATTTGAGTTGGCGCCCCAGCCAGAGAATCGTACAATAGAAAATATAAAGATCAATAGAGTATCCAAGGAATACACAATAGAATGGGGGGTGGACGTCACATCCTCTAGGGCAGCGGTTTTCAAAGTGTGAGGCGCGCCTCCCCTGGGGGGCGCCAGAGAGCTTCAGGGGAGCCGCAGCGTGAGACACAAAAG